AGACGTTGAATCCGGTGACTTAAAATCATCTCAGTAAATCTGAGGATTCTGTCCTTTATCCTAGCTTACCTTAATTGGCTTTTCATTGTCCTGGCCTGCTAGGCTGGTTTTAGTATGCCTGTGACTGATTACATTTCTTAAAATTGCTCTGAGATCCACTAAGTCACCCATATACTCCTCAGAGTACATGGTTTTCCTTCTTCTCCCATTTTCACTGGGAAGGACATGAAGTAGTGAGTATATAAATATTAGAAGTCGTAACAGGAGTAGGTGGGAAGAGAAAAAGATGTCTTTTAATAACTTACTCCATTTTCACTTACTGAATTATATTAACAGCAATGTAAATTTTGTGGGGGAAACAGGAAAGAAATAATATTAGATCAAAATAAATTTCAAGAAAAATAAGCAGTGGAAACAACTGTAAGATGGAAACTAAGCTAGTTATGAGGTAATTGAATTTGCTTACATTTCAGGGTGTATGACAATCCTGCCCACGATTCTGTTTTTAATTGCAAGAATACTGAAAGATACCGCCATAAAATCTGCAGATAATCAGGTTCCTCCACCAGTCAGTGCAGCTCTTCAAGGAATTAAAAGTATTGTGACACTTCCAATGGCCAAAAATGAAGAAACTCAAAAGCAATGGACAGCTCTAATTCGGAGCACTCTTGCCTGCATACTAGAATATTCTCAACCAGGTAACCTAACTGGCGTTTAAACATTTTTTATTAGCTGTTTGTTGTAAATTAATTATTTAATTAAGTCTGTCAGAAGACTACTGCAATCGACAGAAATCGTTTACTCCTGCTTTTCAGATAGGCCTTAACTACCCCTTTCTGTGTTGTTGATTCTGAGTGTTTGTGGTTAGCATTTACACTTATGTTTGGGGATTTTTTAATAATTTAATAAATAACCTGTAGAGAAATCTTAAAATTATGTTACTATCTGGTCCCTAACTAAGGTTCACTCATTGGTTTTAGCCTCCACTGATATTCTTGCTAGAACTCTCATTACTATGATGGCTTCAAAATGATGATTTTCTGCTTCTACAGTTCTTCCAGTTACATTTCTTTGCTGACAGTTTCCTGAAAGGAGGCACCTCCTCGTTGGCCCTTCCTTTAGGACTTATGTTTATTACACTCAGAATAGACCCACGACACCCGTATCACTAACAAAGTGTACTGTGGATTTTTAGGTTAATTGGAATGTCTTATAGTCATGTAACTTTGTTAGAAGGCAAATGCTTGAAATTTTGTATATCTATGCTTTAAACAAATTAAATTACTTTTAAGTAATGTTCATGTTATTAGACTTCTTGTTAGGATTTTTGCCTGAAAAAAATATTTTAAAATCAATGTATCTTTAGTAATGCAAGAAGAAAATATTTAAGATATAGGGACTTCTAATTAAGAACCCCCATTTCATCAACATAATGATTTCTTTGCATTTACTTGTTTACGGACTGTTGTACATTGAGGAGGACACTGCTCGAGGTGATGGGCATAGAGGTGGGAGGTTTGCTGTTCAAGATTGAAATTCCAAATCACTTTTGACATAATACATTGCTTTCACTTTTCATTTTCAGAAGATTCTGTGCCTGATGAAGTAAGCATGCTAACAGCAATTACACTCTTCCTGTGGTCTGCTAGTAGTGAAATAATAGGAGTCCAGTCTTTACAGAATGGCTGCTTGAACAGATTCAAAACAGCATTAAATTCATGTGACCCATGGGTAAGTTACACCCTGAAAAAAATAAACACAGATTTTTGAGGGGGTATCCCCCACCAAAAAAACTGGAATTTTCTTCCCCAAAGCTATGAATTTAAATTTTTTACAAAATAACCTTATCACATTCAAAGTACCCTCCACTACACTTAGTACATTTGTCAAATCCACGATTCCGTTCTTGGAAACACTTTTCAAACTCATCTGTTTGGATAGCTGACAGTACTGCCCTCGTTTTTTTCTTCACCTCTTCTGTCCTTTCATGTTCGTCTTCATTTGTGGAAACAAAAAGAAGTCACATGGAGCGAGGTCAGGTGAGTGAGGCAAGAAAGGCATGCTGTTTTTGCCAAAAACTGGTGCACTTAGATGGCTGCATGAGCATTGTCCTGGTGGGAAAACCAGTCCCGTTTGCCACAAATCAGGCCTTCTTTGTCACACACTGTTACGCAATCTTTTCAGAACCTCTAACTAGAAAGATTGATTAACAGTCTGACCTGGCGGAACGAACTCCAAATGCACTGCCCCCCTCACATCACATCTGGTTTTTTGGTGTGTTTTTTTCGGGGGGAGGGGGGGTGCTTTGTATACTTTCTACTTTATCAGGAAATATTTAAGTTGAGCCATTAAAATATAGTTTTAAGTATTTACAATATGGTTTTAAATGGAAAAACTGAAAAGATCTTTGGGCCTAAACACTACTGACTATCATCGTGATTGACTCTTTTTTCTCCATGTTGATCAAATTGTGTATTTTAAGACATCATAGAAATGTAGAGCTAGTGGATTATTTTATAATCTTTTTAGGGGGAAGACAGTGTGTAGTGGCCATTTTGTCTGGGTTTGAGTTCCATCTCTAACACATGTTAAGCAGCCTGAGTTCAATTTACCAATTTGTAAAGAGAGATAATACTAATAATACCTCCTCTGAAGGATCTATTGTTGTGATCTTTAGATGTTGGTTTGGTGAATGATTTTTAAAAATTATTTACTGCATTATATTTTTCATGCTTAGCATAATTATAGTTTATAACAGAGAAAAATAATAACATCAGTAGCAGTTTATAAATATTGAAGTTTTCTTTTTTTGCAAAACTGATCAGTTACAGATGGCATTTTTTCAGAATAGTTTGTCTGAAAAGTAACTTGCATGTTAAATAGTCATTCTTATTTTCTGAGTTATAGTACTTAAACTAGAAGTTACAATTTTTGTTGAAGATTTGCATATACTTTACATTTAAAGTAAAGTTCACAGGACATTTTACAGTTGAATTATTTTAAAATAAAATTTAATGGAGGGCTTATTTTATACTATTGGTTGGCAAGTCTTAAAATACTAGTAATAAAAATAAACACAGCAAAAATTATTTCTAGCCATAATATATTAATGACCTCTGTTATCCCAAGGAAGTACAGCAGCTTCAATAACTACAAAAAGTGACCCTTCTTCATTTAAAAAGATTCGTTCTGTGTTAGTCCGGGTAGACTAGAGAAACAAATCCATAGACACTCATAGGTATATAAGAAAGAGGTTTACTTCCTCTGGTTCTTAAACGCTTCCTCCCCCCAACTATCATGATCCCAATTCTACCTTGCAAACCTGGTGAGACCAAAGGATGCACAGCGGGATAGATGGGAACTGGAAACACAGGGAATCCAGGACAGATGAACCTCTCA